ACTTGCTCCAGTAAAGTCACACTTACTCCAACAAAGCCACACCTCCTAATAATGCCTGCTCCCTGTGACCAAGCATTCAAATCTATGAACGTGTGGGGAACATTCTCATTCAAACCACTGCTTGCATTGCAATTTGGTCATATGTTAACGGTGGCAAATGACTGTATCTTTGTGGAGCTACAGAACTCAGAGAAGTAGCATATGTCCAAGGAGAAGCCTAAGTCTCTAACCTGTCACACTGGGCAGTGTGGTGAATTCTGTTTGAAGTGATACATTTGTTTTAGAGGGAAATCTGAAATCTAAGGGGTTTTTTTGTTTTTGTTTTTTTTTGTTTGTTTGTTTGTTTGTTTTTGTTTCTAATTTTGTGAGACTATTTCCTGGCTAGTTTTGTATCAGCTTGACATAAGCTGGAGTCACCAGAGAGAAGGGACCCTTAGTTGAGAAAATATCCCTATAAGATCTGAGTGTAGACAAGTCTTTGGGGCATTTCCTTAATTGGTGGTTAATGGGGAGGGCCTAGCCCATTGTGGATGGGGCCACCCCTGGGCTGGTAGTCCTGCCTTCTACTAGAAAGCAGGCTGAGCAAGCCACGAGGAGCAATCCAGTAAGTAGTACCCCTTCATGGTCTCTGTATTAGCTCCTGTCTCCAGCTTCCTGCCCTGCTTGAGTTCCTGTTCTGACTTCCTTTGATGATAAACTGTGTTATAGAAGCATTAGCTTCCATATAAATAAATACACCCTTTCCTCCTGAACTTGCTTTTGGTCATAGTGTTTAATCACAGCAATAGAAACCCTAACTAAGACAAGTTTTTTAAGTTAACGGTAAATTTTAATCACTTTTCTAGATAAACAGACCTTTAAAAAGAAGAGACTGAGATAACGAACAGATCATAAAGAGATAGATTTTGATTTGGGGGGCAGGAATAGGGTTTTGCATTGAGGAAAATGACTGAACTTGGGCCCAGAATTTAAAGTAGGCTATGGTTGGGGAATGTACCTCAGTGTTTGCTTAGCGTATTTATGGCTAGAAGTTTGATAATAGTACAAAATTGAGTGAGTGAGTGAGTGAGTGAGTGAGTGAGTGAGTGAGTGAGTGAGTGAGTGAGTGAGTGAGTGAGTGAATGGATAAATACGTAGGGTAGA